CGGCCGCTACTCTAATTGCAATTAGTATAGTATTTATACAATATAATAGAACGCCCGTAGGAATAGGATAATTTTATTACTAGTAGTTAACTTTATTATAATTAAAGTAAATTCGGTTTTAGTATATTAATATAAAATAATTAATTATATTATTTTTATAGTAAGTATTTAGCGGCTTTAATTAAATATAATAATTATACGTATAATTCTTTTAATTATAGAGGGGGTAAATAAGATTAGAGTTTATTAGAAAAGTTAGGAAGGAATAATAGAATAAATCGGAGGGATTAGTACTATAGGACGAAGGAGGGAAAATATTCAATAAAAAGGTGGGAATAGATTGAAATAAAGAAAATAGATAAATATATTTTGAAAATATTTAATTTTAATAATATAATATAAATAGTTTAATACTTTTTAAACCTTCTAACCGTTCTACGTACGCTATTACTTTATTTATTATATTAATATCAGTTATTAAGAAGATACTTTATTCAAATAGGGGATATAATTGATTAGCTTATATAATAATCCGAATATATTCCGGCTAATCGTAGGAGAAGTTGAATTCTTCGGTATAATAATAATTATAAAAATAATAGATTATTTTGGAGGCGTTTTACTATATAAGTTCGAATTTATTAAAAGTAGAACGTTCAATAGTTAGGTATTACTATTATATTCTATTTTTAAAAAGGTACGAAGGTTGTTCTAAATTAGTATATTATAAATAGTATTATAATTAGGTTTATTTAGAAGGGCTAATATATATTTAATTTAAATATTCTTAAGGTTACTTTCAATATAACTAATAGTAAATAAAAGTAAAGTACGGGGATATTCGTAAAATTATTTATTAATATTATAAAAGTAGTTTTAAAATTGAGAAAAACTTTCGCTTATAAATTTAATAATATTATATTTAAAATAATATTTAGTATAAATAAGTAGAACTATAAGTAATAGGGGTATGATTGCGGTAGTAATTATAAGAGAGGGGGCGATAGGGGAAGGTATAATAAAAATATAAATTTAATTATTAAAGAAGTAATTTTAATAATAAAAATTAAATAGGAAAAGGAGGGTAATTACCGATAGTATTTTATTTAGAGAGGCCTACGAAGGCGAATTAATCCTATTAAAATACTTATAATAGGAGGTAATTTAAAAAGAATTCAATAATAGTGAATTAGAATTCGAATAATTATTATTTATATACAAATTTATTAGCTTCGGTAGGTTAGGGGTACTAGTAGGGAGCTTAGGGCGGTGTAGGGGGGTAATTTTTATTATTATTTTCTTTAATAAACTCTATAATAAGCTAACGCTATTATAATAAAGGCGGAGGAAGTTATATAATTTTAATAGTAGTAATTAAAAGGGTAATAGTACGAGAAGAGCGAAGGGTTATTTTAATAGTTTGGGAAATAAATTAACTACTGCATATATATATTTTAATAGTATTAATTCAATTCCTAGAAGAAGAGCTATTAATTTATTAGGACGTAAAAGAAAGGTAAATTAAAATAATTATAGTCGTAGCTAGATATAGAGAATATTAAGTTAAAAGTTAATTTAAAAATATATTAATAGCTATTAATTATAACAAAGGACGCCCGTTCGGACTACTTTTATATTTATATAAATTCTACTCTATTATAATTAATAATTATAAAACTCCTAATTAGTATACTACTACAATATAGCGCCGGAACGTCCCCCTTATAACTTTATTTTATCGAATATTTTAATACTTCTCAATTTAAAATTAATAAGGTAAAGAGAGGTATCGGTTGTTTTAATACTCTTAGGCAAAAGCTTAGTAAGATGATAGAGAGTATTAGTATTATAGTGTTATAGTATTTTATCCCCGGCGGTCTCGAATCTCCGTCCGTACCTATACTAGCCGGGTCCCGGTGCTCGAGGCGGTGGTCCTTTGGCATCCTAATAATACTTTCCGGTATTATCTACTTCTTAAGAAATAACGCCCCCTAGGGCGAAACCGCTATAATCCGTCTCTAAATATATCTTCTTATCCGGATTAAATTCTGTAAAGATCGGGGCTTGGGTAAATAATATCTTTAATAATTAGAAAGCGGCCTCGTATTTCATAATCCACTCAAACGCAACCCCTTTCCCTATTAATGTAGTAAGAAGCGAAATAATTTTAAAAAATTAAAGTATAAATATCTAATAGTAATTAATAAATTTAAAGAAACTATGTACGCCCTTCCAAAAAATAAGTAGAAGCTATTTAAAAATTACTTTAACCTTTTTAGGGTCGGCCTAAATTCTAATATTAGTATAAATAATAAACCCGAAGTATTTAACCTTCTTAATAGCGAATTCGTACTTATTAAAGTCGAAGTAAAGCCCGGCGTTTAGAAATTTCTATAATATAAGACGGACTTTAGCTTCGTAATCTACTCTAGAGCCTAAGGTATAAATAAAGATATTATTTATATATACTATATAGAATTTATTAAAGTATTCTTATAAAATAAAATTAATATAATAATAAAACGTTATTAGGGCGCCTATTAACCCAAAAGGGATTACTAATTATTTAAATAAACTATAGCGAATTTTAAACGCTATTTTCCATTCCTCCCCTATAACTATACGAATTTTATAGAAAACTTATACAATATCGATTTTTATATACTACTTCGCCCCCTTTAATATATAGAATATTCCTTTAATAAATAGCAAAGGGTATTAATTTATTTATATAATAGCGTTTAAAGCCTAGTAATTACAATAGAAGTGGAAGCTACCCTCCAACTTCCTTATAAATAGTACTAATATACCCGCTTCCGAACTATTCGCCCTAATAAACCCCTTATCTAATAAATCTTTTAATATCTTCTTTAAAATTAAAAATTCCTTATAAATTATACTATATAATAGTCCGAAGAGTAAAGAGAACTCCTTATTATTAGGTCCCTTCTTAATTTCAATCCAATAGTCGATACTTAGATAATAGGGGTTCCGCTTATCGGCATTCTCCTTCATTTATAACGGGAGAAGGTTGTGATATACCGGGGGAATTATTCTCTCTAACTATTCTTTAATATAAACCTTCTTCGGCTATAACGCTTTTTCTATATCCTTTAAACTAATAGTATAAATAGCTTCCTCGGCTATTTTATTACTTAATTCTTTTTATAAGCAGCGAAGATAGCCTATAAAAGTTATAACGAATACATAAATAATAAACTTAATATCTTTAATAAAGTTCGTATTAAGTACTTATTCTCCTTTAATATATTAAATTTAATAATTTATAATACTTAAATATATCCTCTTTTTATAAGGTATAGAGTAAACCTATATCGCCTTTAATTATAGTTTACTTAAAATAATAGGGAACTCTAAGAGAAAGATAATATAAGTATATATAAAATATATATATTTATTAACCTCCGTTAGGAAATAGGCGAATCCTTAGATAATAGCCCCTTTTATAATAGTAGAGGCTCCTTTTATACAATAGAGTTTAATAGAAATAATAAAAATTTTAAAATCTTTAATAACCTTTTTACTTATTATAATATAATATTAACAACCTTTATTAGTAAGGATATAAAATAAATTACGGTTGTTAATAATAAATAAAATTAATATAGGCTCTATTTCTATTTATAATTTTAATTTAAATTCTTCTATTTTACTTAGTACTTTAGATAGTTCTAGGGCCTAACTTCGCTCTACAGCTACTCTTTTCCCTATTTGGGAGCGGAGTCTTAATTCTCCTCCTCTTCTAATAATAGAATGACCTTTATAATAATAATTTAAATACGGATATTATTATTCAGGGGAACTACTAATAAATAGGAGTAATTATTTATATAATAACCGAAGGCTCTATAGTAGAGGTATAGATTATTATTTTTATACTTTTAATACTTTTTATTAAAAACTTACTTAATATATTTAGAAGAAGTAGCCGAATTTAAACCGCTTTATCCTCAATTACTACAACCCTTAATAAATATACTAATACAAATAATTCCTATAATAGCATTGCTATTAATATCTATAGTATAATTTTTAAATTAATTTAATATTTAGGCCGCGGACTATTACTATTTATTATTAGGCTTTTAAATATTAGCCTAGAATATAGGAAAGTAAAGACCGCTACTTTAAGTAGAGCGACCCTACTAATTATAAAGATATTTATAATAGTTTTCTTTAAATTCGGACGTCCGCTTATAACTAGTGTCATAGGGCTGGCGTCTAGGGAATTGGCTTGGCTTTGCCAAGCCGGGACCGGCTGTATCAATAAGGATGCGAGCCTTCTAGTTAGCCAGATCTATATGTTTGCCTGGCCCGTGCGGTCTTGGCGCCCTATACAAAACCTTCTCTAGACTGTACCCTTCTAGTGCAATCTTCCCTTTTGCTCTCTTCGTCAAATATAGCATTTCAACCACACACGACTGCTCGCTGTGCAATACTCTGGCAGACCCGTTACATTATATTTAACCCTCTCTTTAAGCAATACCGTTGCCGTTCTCTCGTAGGCACGCCCAAAGAGTCTCCCTCCCGTCGCTCTCGTCCCTCAGCGACAACCCTATCTATAATAATAACGCCGACAATCCCCTAGTTTTAAGACCCCTAAGAACGCTTATAGTAGTTCGGCACTGCCTTCGAGACTATACTGAGTGAACTCGCCGCTCTTAAAACTTCACCTACCCAAAAAGCGGTTTTCCCTACTCTCGAGAAGTTCATTAGTAATAAAGAAGATTTTGAAACCTGGGTTTTAAACGCTCAAGCTAAGTTCTATATAGATGGCCCCGCTATTGGCGATTTAGAAGCGCAATTCTACTATCTACTCGCCTGCCTATCGCCCGCTGTTAAGAAGCCACTTATCGTTTTTGCTAGCTCCCTATTGTTAAGATTGCCCGCCGCCTTACTTAATAAGTTTCGGCTTACGTATAGCGATCCTAACGCGGCGAAGCGCGCTGGCTAGGAACTCTACTAGCTATACCAAAAGCCTGGCTCCAAAGAATCTATAGCGGCCTTCCTTACCCGCTTTAACAAAGTACTATACTGAGCCCGTGTAGACTCTTAGTCCAACGCTGCCAAAGTTAGTCAACTGACGGCCTCCCTAAATAACGATTGGAAGTAATGGCTCTTAGAAAGAATCAACGTGCCTAAGCAATATTCTCTATTACTTGAATACCTCCGCTGTTTTAATAGCAACGCCTTTTTCGTCTCGATATCGAGCTCGAAGTAACTGGTTAATAATAATACTAGTAATCCTATAGATACCTCCATTAATGCTTCGGCGATGAGATCCTCCGCGTTATTACCGTCTTAGAAGTAAAAGAACAAATAGAAGAAGGAGGGCAAGTATACCAACTATAGTAGTAGGTTACATTAGTATAAGAAGTGTCTACGGTTGTCTACAAAAATGAATACGGTCCGGCTATAACCTAGTAGGGGCTCAAACGGCCACAATAGTGATAGTAGAGGAGGAGAAGACTCGGACTGAGTAAAGATTAGGAGTTGACCCTAATAAGATTATAGTAGAGGGAATACTAACTAGAGATTCAAAAGGAGGAGTCTCTAGCAGTTGGGAGAGGTAAGGCTGCAATGCGGGAAGTATTAGTTTATTCTACGCTTAGCAATATAGTAAGCCTTTAAACCGTACTTCTCTACGTATAGCCAGTTTACTAGTATCTATTGCGATATGTAACCGTTAGAAGGCAATAGGTGTAATATTTCGTAGGTATAAAATTATTAAGGCTGCTTCTAGCGAGAGGTATAACGAATCTACTTAAAGGTAGCTCCTACTAGTAAGAGAAGTAGAGCGATACAAAGTACTGGGTAATAATTGTAATTTCTAACCGTTTACTAGTATATATAGATTTATAGCTTTGCAGAAGAGGACTCCCGGATGGGTATAGTCTAGATCTCTAATTTAGTTTTAGTACCTTAGCCGGGGCGCAGCTTTGTAAGGGTAGTAGTGTGCTGTTACCAACTCGAGTAGAGAGTAGGTGGTTGTATAGCGTTTATTTGGGGGCTTAAATAGAGAGATCTTTCTTTTCTAATATTATTAATACTCGTACCTATTAGACTGGGCAGTTTGGCTGGGAGCGGTTGTAGGGGATTTTAGTTATTTCTTTATATATTTAGCGGTATAGTCTTTTCTAGTGCGGTGGACCAGCCTCCTTAAGGGGGAGTAGAGGGGTGATGTTATAGGGCTGGCACCTAGGGAATTGGCTTGGCTTTACTAAGCCGGGACCGGCCGTATTAATAAGAATGCGAGCCTTCTGGTTGGCTAGATCCACATATTTGCCTAGCTCGTGCGGTCTTAGCGCCCTGTACAAAACCTTCTCTAGACTGTACCCTTCTAGTACAGTCTTCCCTTTTACTCTCTTTATTAAATATAGCATTTCAACCACATACAACTACTCGCTGTGTAAAACTCTAGTAGACCCGTTACAACTAGTAGTATAATATTATATTTAGGCTATATATATATAGTAATCGTCTAAAAGGTCTACTAGGAAGAGTTTATTATAAAATTTCTTATTAATAGTATAACGGAAATATACTAGCTTAATAGGACTCTCCTAATTATAGCCGTCGGCTTTTAGTAATTTATTATCGAAGGTAGTAAGGAAGCTTACGAATAGCTCTCCGTCTCTCTAATATAAGTAGGAGAGTTTATTAAGAATAATATCCTAACTTTAATAAGAACCGAAAATTACCTGAATTTAATCGAATAAGGCTATAGGGTCTTCTTCGCCGCGGGCGGTCCTATTAGTCTAGAACCCCTCGAATAAGAATTGCTTATCGTCGGAGAGTATATTAAGAATTTTGTACTATATAGTATTATAATTAATACGAAGCCCTACTTTAATATTGGTATTATACGCTTTAATAAATTTATTATAATAAAAGAGGAAGGTATAAGGCTACTTATCCTACTTCGGGAGTTTTAAGTATTTTTTTTTATAAGAGGTAGTATTATAACTATTATTTTAATTAATAAAAGTACCTAAAGTAGGGACGTTAGAATCCGTTATTCGGTTTATAGAGGTATTTATAAAGTAAAAGTCTAAACGTAGAGTAAGGATAGGGTTGGGATTAGAATTAAAAAGAAGGGACTTAACGCAATTATAAAGAGAAGTACTACTATTTAGTACCCTAATAAAACTTTTAATAAACCCGTCGCTAGGGGTATTACTAGTATTTAATTAATTACCGCTTTAAGAATTATAAAATTCTTCCTCGTTATTGAAGTTTATATTATTAAATTTAATTATAATAAATAATAAATACTATAATACCGCGCTATAAACTACTAGCCACTTTTAATTCTACTTTACTATTCCGCTATTAATTTCTACTATATTTACTAGTAAGAATAAAAGTAGAACTTAATATAAAGGGTATAATATAATTAGTATAAATACTAGCCTTAATTAATTAATAAGGTTCTATAAAGAAGAAAAGAGAGGAAAAGAGCGCCCTCTAGGCGGGTATAGCCAACTATCCTTTTCAAGGGACGTATACGCGTACGGGCCGCGGGCGTACCGCCGCGGCAAGGGACTTAATTGGCCGCATCGGTTCCTGCCGGCAGAGACTCGAATTGGCGAGACCGCCAGTCGCTTCAGCTACGGGTAGTAAGCCCTATGACAGGTTCTTACTAAACTTTTTCCACTTAAATTACTTTAAATTGTTTACCTTTTTCTTTTATTTTATACTTTCTTTTCCCTTTTCTAATGTATTTTTTTATCTTAACTTTAATACATTTTATACTTTTTTTTAAATTCTTTTACTTTTTCTTTTACTTTCTTATTATATTCTTTTTATTTTAAAGTTATTCTTATATTCTTCAAACTTTTATTGTTAAATATTTTATACCTATATTACATTTAGTTAGTATATATATTATCTAATAAAATATATATATATATATAAATATCCAAGATACTAAATTAGTATTCCCAATATTAGGCTAATATTCTTAGTACTCATCTAGTATTCTTAGTACTAGACTAGTATTTCCAATACTAGACTAATATTTCTAGTACTAATTCTAGTATTTTTAGTATTGGATTAGTATTTTTAGTACTAATTAGTATTTTATTTTTCTTAATAATTTTTTAGTTTTTTACTATTTTGAAAAACCGTTATTAGTACTAAAAAGAGCTCGTTTTCTAGTATATTTCCTATACTAAAACTATTTTTTGAAAATACTAAAAATACTTTAGTAGTACTAAATACTAGAGTACTAATTAGTATTAGTACTGGGTCCAGTACTAGTACTAGACCTCTAGTACTAGTACTGGTCAAATACTAGACTAGAGTAGTACTAATCCCAACTCTGAGACCGAGCGAGGAGGGTACGGCCTTAATGATTGAGGTCGTCAGCTCCTGGGCAAAGCCGAATCCGGCCAAAAAGGCCATGAAAAGGAAGATAATTTTGTGCATCATTTTGCCGGCTGTTGAAGACGTTTGGTGTTAAGGTAGGACTTGGAGGTATGCCGTTTGCTGGTGAAGATCTTGGAGGTTGATCTTCGAGGGGGATGGTGATGAGGATGGGAAACGGTAGAGGAGGGCTGGTGGAAGAGACATTTTATATCTCGAAGAGGAAGAGGTGCCGGAGTATCCAAATCTATTCTAAATCCACGGGTAGGTGAAGTGTAGAGGATAGTTGAGATTAGATCTTTGAGTGAACAGGCTTGGAAACGGACAAGCCTTCATTCACCCTTCAACGCTTCAAAATCCGCCTTCTGGACTCTTATGGTGAGCAAGTTTCTGGGTGATAGACGTCCCCTTGTTGATGAATCACCGCAACCATCCTGAAAATAAGAGGTAAGTAAGTTGAGACGATGAGAAAATATTGAGTGAAGGGCTTACCACTACGTCCAGGCAGCCATGGGGCGTTTACCACTGCTCGTCTGGAATGCCTGTTTATGGGATCAGAAAGCTTGCTCGTTGTATATCTCCATCGCTTGGTGACAACTGGGAGGTTCATTTTGTCGGAAGACAATCACTGCGCCCGTCGTTTGGCCCCAGCAGTACTGCAGTTTGATGAACGATTGAAGCTCCGGGTTTGTCTTCTATCAGACTCCCCAGAACGGCTAGTGGTAGTGGTGGTAAAGGAGTTTGTCATTGTGGACACACGTTTTCTGTCAGTCTGTCCCTCCTTCGAAGGGAAAGATAGAGGGGATACTTCTGTGTATGTTGCGGACAAAGTGGTGACATTTGAAGTCGAAATTTCTCAGTTACCTTCAAATCATGGGCCGAGTTTCAACGTGCAACATCGCCAGTCATTGCAGATGTTTGGAACCTGCCTCAATGCTCTGTCAAGATTGCTTGTGGGCAGGTGCGACGTTGACAGCTGTGAAACTACAAGCGCATACATACGGTACCTCATTTCAAAACAAAAGCAAGCAAAAAGGAAGTCACGATTCAACGATGGCTGTAATTGAACTCACTGTTTGACAACGGAAGGCACGATTTAGGACTTGTTTTGATGACGTTATTCGGGAGTGTCTCTTGGGTCTACCTGCTGGCTGATGCAAATCCATCATCCTGTAACACCAATTTCCTCGCAGACACTGATCTAAAAGTCGTGAACTGCACTAAAAACCCATTCTCATCATCATGTACCCCTTGACTCCCAATATGAGCCTTTTCTTCCCAATCCTGCTTATTCCTAGTCTGGTTGTTCCTCCCAGCAGGTCCTTCCTTCCTTCCCATCAATGAACCAGACCCCAACACTTCAGCCAAACCATATGCCCCCATCTTTTGGCACGAGGCAAAAGAAAATCACACCCTATTGTACAAAATTCGCACGTGCTTAGGTAGTTCTATGATGTGTCCCAAATGTACAAATTGTGGTAGCTGTGTGTAAATGCGAGCTGCATGTCCTACGTGGGTGTAGGTAGAGGTACATGTACCAACACGGCAATGCAGCCTTGCCAGCTTCGAAAAGAACATGAAGCCCAAAGAGTTGAAGCAATGAGAAAATATCTCGGACACCTAAATTATCCGAACGGCGGGGGCCACGAGCTCACAACAAACCGAGGGGAAAGAAAAGTGCGTGGGTGTGTAGTAGACAACTCTATTTTTCTTGGTCTAGAGGTCTAAAAGTGCATCTAAAGTGTGCAGCTGATGTCATAACTCATGAAACGTCCTCCTTGAGAAGGAAAAGTGCCCCTACCATAGGGTCTATAGAAAGAACAACAAATGAAAAAAAAAAAAAACGCTGTGCCTCCTATCATGTTGAGCTCTGAGTGGGACTCCTCGAGTAGCAGTGTACCCGTCCTGCCTGCACATGTGCTTCGAATGATTACCCAGATAAGACAAAGCATAAATCCAATTCGATCAAATTCCTCCAAGATATCCCTCCCAGAAAGGAAAAAAAGAGGAAAAAATGGTGTAAGGGAACCCGCCCATGGTATCCATCAAGAAAGGAAGATAGGAACTGAAAAGCCGTGAAGCTGTATATCTTTCGTCGCTCATAATTGCCATGCCCAGCTGACCTCGCCCCGCGATCTCAAGGATGGCGCCGAATCGAAGCCTTAAACCATCATGATGTTTGCATGAGCTGTAATAAGCCGTCAGTACGAGAGCGCCGGTAGAGCGTGGCAAAAAACGAACTTACTGTAACCACCTTGACAAACTCAATTAGGATACGGAATATCCACCACAGCATACTCGGCCGGCAACGCCTTCTGGATCCCCAAAACATGTCCCGCACCACAATCCGGCTGGTTGGTAACAGCCAAATCAGGGAAACTGCACGGAACATCCTCGCCCCACTGGCACCGGGCATCCGCAACGTTATAAAGCTGGAAATTGTTGCCCACCCAACTACCACCCTGGCACGAGTTGATGAAGTTCATCGAGTTCGCAGCCGTGAAGGGCAGCTTGCCATCAGGCGTCTTGATAAGCGGCCTGCATTCCTCGGGCGAGACGAATTCGTAAGTGGCAGCGACGGCGCCACCGAGGGCTGCTCCGCCGGCAGCACCGACGCCGTTCTGGAGGTAGGCGTAGGCGTCGTAGCTGATGTCGTAGGCGCCGGTGGAACTGTCGATCTTGAGGAGAGTAACGGAGCGGCCGTTGGCGGTCACGCGGACGCAGATGTTATTGCAATCGACGGCCGAGGGCCAGTAGGCTACGCGGTTGATGTCGATTTTGCAGCCGAGAACTCCTACGGAGGACGAGTACTTGTCGTGAGGGGTGATGGCGATGGCTTCGCTGCGGCGGACGGGAGGGATGACGGCGGCAGAGGTGAGGGTGGCAGCCGTGAGGCCCAACACGGTCATGACGTTGGCTAACATTGTGTCTGGGATTTGTGTCTTTGTTTCAGAGTTTGTCTGGTTGGAGGTGGGTTTTAGACGTGAGACGGCTGGAAGAACTTGATCAAGATGAGTGATCGACGTGGACTGTCTGAAGCTGACTGGGGAAAGAAAAAGAGGGAATGAAACATGGCTACGCTTGTTGTTTTATAAGAGTTTTAGAAAGATTCTGCCAACGCCATCTTGGAAATTTCCTGTCCGATGCCTATGCAGAGTCATCGATTTGCTTCATGCCGTTGGTAGGCACAGCTTTTTTTTTTCCACGCCCGGAAACCTGTAAGGACAAAGGAAGATGCATGCCCCTGAGCCACCCGCATGGGACAAGGCGAGATCGATCAAAGTTAATCTTCAGGAACGTGAAAGGGAGAACGTGGTAAGACGTGGTTGGTGGGGGGCTATATCGTAGAAAACAAAGCTCAGTGGCTTGTGGCTTGCGGTCGAGTCAAGAAAAAAGTGAAATGGCAGAATCATACGCGGAGAGTGTTCTGTTATATTTTCACATGCACCAAAGTTTCCACCTCAGATTGCCACCGACCATAAGACATTCCCACGTATGCTGCCCGGTTCGAAGTGGGGTCTGATACTGCATCTGAATTTCCTATGCCGATACCAGGACCGGCAGATCCGTAACGCGGATCTTGGAAGTAGAAATAGCCTGGACGCAGATCGGTGATAGCTCGCGGCTCCGGGCTCTGGCTTAAGCTTGTTGTGTTGTCCGAGGACGGCATAATCTTATAGGCCATGTCTGCCGCTCATGTCCCGTTTATTGCGCTTTGTGTTTCCATCCCAGTCTGTGTCTTTGTATCGGCTCCGAAGGCGGCATAGAGAGTTTCAAGTTGTCCAGGATAAGCAAACTTGATCTCCCTTCCCCCGCAAACCCCGATGCGGAGATGGTCCTTTGACACCCACATAAAGTCCTGGTGCTCCGTCGAGTTAAGGCGAACTTGCGGGTGCTCCTGCAAACTGTGCGTAGACTCGACAGACACAAGAAAGGTGAGCTTCCGATATCGCCCTTCGCCTGACGCTCCTTCGAACTCGAGTTGGTCGAGCAGTGCCATGACATGGTTGAGAGCAAGGCCAGTCTCTTCGAGGAGTTCACGTGCCAGGGCGTGGGAGAGGGTCTCGTCGCCGAGGTCAACTCCGCCACCGGGGGTTTCCCACAGGTTGGGGAAGCCATCTGTTGCCGCGCGCTGAATCAAGAGGATGTGATCTTGGTGGAGGACCACGGCACTGACAATCACGCCCTTGAGTGTGGGGTTGGCCATGAGGTATGTCTCAAGCGAGACGCCGAACTGATGGAGAGCCATGGTGCTGGTTGTACTTTTGCGGGCTGCTTTGAGGAGATGATTGTTGGTTGTGGTCCCCGAGTTTGTTGGTTGCGAGGAAGATTGTTTGCCACCAAACCGCAACAAGAAATTTGACGATGTCCTGTTGGTTGTTCCCGGATTTCCCCAGCTTTTGAAATTGGTCAACGCCTTCGGAGATAGTATTTTGTGTTACGAGAATGTCACGTCACTTGAAACATCCTCTCAAATTGGGGGGAATTTCTGGAGAAAAGGTAATTGCGGTTGCCTGGAAGCCACGCAACCTATGCTGACACTGGGGCTCTTGCCCTCTGTACAGCCAGCCTGGGTAGAGATGCCCTCACTAGTATGGTGTCCCGATGGGGTTGAGGAAGCTCCAAGAGGACCAGTCAGCAAAACAAGAATATCTGAGACTTCCTGAGACTTGACTCCAGAGTCTTATATTCAAAGGAACCTTTGTCATCGTCGAGTGTCCAGGACAGGGAGTACCCAAGATGACGTCAGGGGTACAAGCCATGATTCAGTGGAAGCACGTGCTGAAATGGAGGGACGGGATCTTTAGTGTAGAGAGGTTATTTCCTGCCCCACCTTTTTCAGGGGCTTCAGCGCTCCTGGTTGGCCATTCCCCCCACCACTCAGCGATCTCCAGGGCATCAATGACGTGGCGTGCACTGTTTTGCTCGCTGTCAGCATCAACAGCACTGCGACTTTCATTTCTCTCGAGACCTTGTCCTTGTCCTTGAGCGTGTTGTTCCTGGTGTCCATCTCCCATCTCCCACTCTCAGCCCTACCCGTTCTCCATCTTTGTCCATGATCATCCCAACTTAAGTCCATCATGGCGACCGATTCCAGCACCCAGACCGAGACGCTGCTGTCCGAGATGGACGAAGACGATGACTTTGTCATCATCACCCACCAAGATGTCAACGCGGCGCGGCGCCCCCGATTCCTGAACGACATCAGCGATTACATCGACAGCATCGCCGAGGAGTTATGGCCCATCAACAAGAAGATCCACGACAAACCTGAGCTTGGCTATGGAGAGGTCATCGCCCATTATACCTTGACGGCCTACATGAAGACGCAGCCAGGATGGACAGTGACGCGGTCGGCCTACGGCATGAAGACGGCCTGGGTTGCGGTCTACGACACGGGCAAACGGGGGCCTTGTGTTTCCTTTAACGTTGAGATGGGTATGTCTCTTTCCCTCCCGTTTCCATCCCTTCCGCCGGTCATCCAGACTGTCGGATTGACCAACGGGCCTGGGCATAGCAGGCATCACCCTAGCATCCATGACCTCGACCAACTCCAGACTTCCACACTAGACCACAACTAACAACAAAACCCCCAATCCAGACGCCCTCCCCGCCATCGGCCACGCCTGCGGCCACAATCTAATCGCTACCGCCTCCCTCGCCGGCGCCCTTGCCACAGTCCACCTCCTCTCCCTCTACTCTCTCCCGGGCCGCGTCGTCCTCTTCGGCACTCCGGCAGAAGAAGGCGGCGGCGGTAAGATCCGGCTCCTAGCCGCAGGCGCCTACAAAGACTACGGCGTCGATATCAGTCTCATCTCTCACCCCGGCACCATCCCCGACTGCGCCCTCACGCACACGACTGCCTACATTCGGATGAAGGTCGAATACTTTGGTCGGGAAGCACACGCCGCAGCAGAGCCGTGGCTGGGAGTCAATGCGCTGGACGCATTGATCACGGCGTATAATGGGATTAGCGTGTTGAGGCAGCAGACTATGCCGTCTGATATCATCCAGGGACACATCACTGATGGCGGGGCGGGGCCGAATATCATCCATGCGTATGCGGCAGGCATTTTTGTGGTGAGGGCCGCGACGCAGAGACGATTGGAGGCGTTGGTTGAGAAAGTGATAGGGTGCTTTGATGCGGGTGCGATGGCGACGGGTGCAAAGGTCAAGGTGACCAGACTGATGGCCTACAAGGATCATGTGCCGAACCGGTTGTTGGCGAGGAGCTATGCGCGGTACTTTAATCCGCTGGTGCCCGAGGAAGGGGATGGAGGAAGGGATGGGGATGGGAATGAGGCGGGCGGACCGAGCAAGATTCCAGAAGACCAGGATGTCGATGAGATGAGAGGGCGGAGTGGTGCCAGTTCGGACCAGGGCGATATTGCTCATGCGATGCCGAGCATTATGCCCGGGTTCGAGATACCGCCGGGGCCGGGAGGGGCAGGACCCCATAATCCCGGGTTTGCGGAAAGTGCGGGAACGAGGTTGGCGTTTGAGAGGAGTTTGAGGGTTGCAAAGGCGTTGGCGGGCACGGCGATCGATGTGTTGACTATTGATGGGCTGTTGGAGGAGGTCAAGAAGGAATGGAGGCGATCCATGACCGGGAGCAGGAGAGAAACAGCAGGCAGGACGGAACGGTTGACGACGTTATGACATTACGACAGCGGTACAGATTGGATGTAGGTTTGGATATAAGGTAACAAGGTAACTAGGGCTGGTCCCCATCTCTCATCAATCAACATGTCCTATCTCCCATTCCTTCTCCCTCCCCGTCCTTTACTGATAAGTTACCTGCATCCCACCCGGCAGCTCCGAGACCCAGCCCTCCGTCTCCTCTTTTACCGTCTGCTTCTTGAAACAAGCCAACGCCTGCTCTGGTGTCTGCGTCTTGAGCTGCGAGCATCGATCGCCACTGCACCGCGCATCCAGCGCCCTCTGGAGCGCGTCTCCCTTCCACCCAAACACGTAGTCGCCGTGCTGGCCGTACCCGGTCCCGTCTCCCATCGAGTACACAAACGGTTGTCCCTTGTCGGGCCAAATAGCCTTGTCATTGAACTGCCGAGTGTCCCACATGACTTCGTACATGAGCTGTGGCAAGCGGACCGGGTGGCTGGCGGGGCAGGGGCCGGTGGATTCAAAAGTGCCAGAGGAGGGATACGCGACGTGCGACTTGTGGTCCGGGGAGTCGACGTTTTTGCCATCCCAGCAGCTAGCAACAGGTTAGTTTATTGAAGGGAGAGGCGTGGAGATGAACGGACGGGGAACTCACGTAGGAAAGGTGATGGTAGTCCGAATACCACCCGGACACATCTTGTTGGGGAACGTGACGGTGTCGTCGCCCGTGCAGGGCGCACCGCCAAACGGACTCTGCTGGATATTGTGTTCACATCGATGGCAGATTTGCCTTTGCATACCCCGATTAGACCGGAGCATGGCGTCACCTACCAGCATGCGGAAGCCCTGTTTGACATCGATCAGTACCTTGTCTTCTTCACACACGCCACACACACCTTGCTTTGATGATGCCAGGGTACGTAGGTAGGTAAAACTCACAGGCTTAAAAGCAGTAACCTTCGTCTTCCCATCATACGGCGGGATATAATACACGGTGATCCCCCCTTGTCCCGTCAATCCCAGGTTCACCATCTGCGGCACCCTTTTATAGCTTCCGTTCTTGGCTCGGAAGTACAAGTTGGCCGTCCAGTAGTTGGATAAGTCCTCGGCGAAGGAACACGTGGTGCAGGTGGACTGGGTGGAGGGGTCATACTCGACGGGCGTCATGGTGGCGTTGAAGGAGTTGCCGCCAACGATTTGGTGCATGTGCGTCGAGGGGAGCATGCCGGGGTTGACGAGCGGGTCGAGACGCTCGATGGAGAGTTGGGAGCATTGGAAGCGCATCATGGCTGCTGTGGCGTATTGGGCTAGGGTGTCTTGCACGAAGACTGAGGCCACAAGGGCCAGGAATTGGAGCTTCATCGTGATAGTGATGGGTTGGCTCGGTGAGATGAACGTAGGTGTCTTGGGGCAAAGAGATATCGAGGAGATACCGGGCTGGTGGTTTACGGTCGAAGAGGCAAGAGGAACCCGTCTGACGATGGTGCTTTGCGGATAACCCCTTATACTCCAGTCATGTCACTCTTCGCCTCCCATCCGGGCTCATAGCATCCATCATGATATGCCGTGATCAGCATATATAAAGGCGCGGCATGAAAGTCTGTCTTATCGACCACTGAATCTAACCGCGAATCTTCCTTCATGCCATCATGTAGTTGTTATTGGTTAACCCATTCTGCCGAACTCTGGCAAGAGAAGCAGTATACCCGCCTTGGTGAACTGCCGTATATTGGCCTGCTTTGGTGGTTAAATCCAGGGTAAAGTCTCATTGGCGAGGAAGGGCGATCAGCACTGAATAGGAGGCCAATGTGCAATATACTTTAATGAGGATTTATACCTCTACCCCCCCTATCCGAAAAGACTTGTGATTATAAGGAGCTATATACGGTACGAGTTGCTGTCATGGGGTTTGTGGTTTGCCACGACAACCCTAAAAGGGTAGTTGACGATTGTATGTAGGATCGCCAACATTGCCGTTGTCACATGGCATGAACTTTGGCTTGTTGCCAGTTGCATTGGAGTATCACAGTCACAGATTCCAGTCAGAAGACCAGATAGGTAGAGTAGAGTTACAGTTACAGTTACAGTTATGCTTAACTGGGAAACTAAGTGTAGGTGCTGATGTTACATGAACGACCAAGTCAGATCAGAACCTTATCAGACGTGACCCGATGGAGCTCCAGTCTCGGTAGTTATAATCTCTTCACATGTGACGTGCATGCTTCGCGATTGCATCGTCGGTTGTCGACCAAGCAAGTATCTCGATCAGTCAAGGTTCGACAGTCAGAGCGATATGGACTGCCGAAAAGAGGAAAGCGAAGAGAGAAAAATGAAATCATCCATATTGTGGCATGTCACAACATACATGTAAACAAACTCGGAGGAATTAAGTGTCGCCAAGCAAACTTGACCGTATCATCGGCAACTGAATCGAAGAGGGTCTAAAGATCTTTCGGGATCCCTGCGAGTAATGGTTTACTTGATACCGTAGGCTCAAATTGTGTTTGAGCAGAGTAGGAGAGGTGGAAGTTACTGTGTCCTGTCCTGGGAGTCTAGACCGGATTGTTGAGCCCAAGTGCAGACCCAAAGACTCCTACTGTTCGTTATCTTCCGGCCATTCGAGTAGGTACGACTATCTAGGTAGAGGTAAGTAAGACATGCATGCCTACACGGAAATTGTCGGCGATGTGAAGCACCGAGTAGAGTCCAGCTTGACTCTTCCCTTCTAGTGGAGGTTGACAGAGAACCGTCCGTTCAGTCATTTTTGAAGCCAACGATACGGAGCACGAATTCGGTGGCTCCAAAGTCCCAAACAGGCATGCATGCCGGGCGAACGGTATCGTTGAGTACACTAGCCATAATCGATCGTGGCTACATAGAGGTACATACATAGACGGCGCTGCTCGTTGGATCATGGTTCAGGGATCATGATCGTTGTTACACTGCCTTTGTAGCTTGCAGGCACGCAAGATAAAGGAGATTAAAAAAGGGGAGAAAAAAAGAAAGCGTTGAGGAGAAAAGATGATGATGTGAAGAAGGAGGTGAAAAAGAAGCAAAGAGTCTAGATCGGTGATGCAGGAACGGTCCACATCGATGCTTGTCGCGAATAGGTATTGCAGGTGTTGATGAGTTGGTTGCCCTAGAAATGGAAGCTCGTCAGAGCTCATGGGGGGAAGAGAACAAGAGGGTTCGTTGATGGGTATTTCCTGTCTTGATCTCCTCAAGCTGCTGATGTTCTTTTCTTACCTCTGATATCTTTCCATACATCATATCATTTGATGCTCAGCACTTCCATCGGCGATGCCTGGCAGTGAATATCAGTAAATCCTTCGTTCACTCACCGTCCTTTCCAGTGACCGACCCCTGCCTCATCGTACTGTAGGACCCGAGCACTGGCGCTAGGCATTGCTGGTTGGTTGCCAAGACGTGTGTTCGTTTCTTCACGGACCGGACTTGTCGTCTGCAAGTTGGTTGCCGATGTGACTCGTCCGGTATCCTCCTCCTTTAGACCAAAGGAAGGCCCGATATTTTAATGATATCTTTTCGGTGTGTCTAACAATTTACCGAGCCATGTTAGACAAGATAACGCAATCCAACAACTTTCCGAGGCGATGAGAAGCAACAGCCCCAGGGGCATCTCATGGATCCCAGTTTTCAACCTAAAAGTCAGCCCCGAACAACAACAAACTCGCGCTTACCCAAGACACCTAGACGCCGCGTTTAGCGCATCACCACCATACCGTTTACCACTAGACAGTCCGTTAGCCCAGTACTTTGCATAAGGCTCTTTTACCATTTTCAGGTTGATTAGGTGGGCATTCCCATTTCCAGCCTCAACAGCTTCTGCCCGGTTCCTTGTTGCCTGCTGCAGTCAACTTTTGGTAAATTATGCAGTACACATCCATGTGTGTGGGACACCTCGGCTGGTGGGACTTTTCAGTTTTGATCCGCGATCAATTCAGTTCTCTCTCCCTTCCCTTGACGGTGACGTTGTAGTGAAAGTGTCACGCTAACAAATCTTCAAGGGTTATGTTCACTACTGAGTGAGACACACAGGCACCCGACGCAGGCAGGCCCACTCGGACTGGCCATTTTTAGTATTTTTTAGCGGCAGAGGCTGGGATCGATGGATGGATCAGGAACCCTGCTGCATCCGTTGCGGGGCCCCAGGCAGGCAGCTGTTGCAGCCTGTTGGTGCAACAAGGGAAGTGAGAAAATGGTGGGAAAAAAGAACCAGTAAACTGAGCCTTGTGGGCTTGGTTGCTAGTGGCTGGAAAAGTGGTTGATGCGGATTGGTTGTTTTGTTTTGTTTTTCTTCTCTTTTTCTTTCCATCCTCTCCGCCTTCTTTGCTGACGTGATTGTTGACATGGTGATCGATTGAGGCTGTTGAAGTGATTTGTCAGTTGGAGCATCCTTTTTTTCTTTTTTTTTCTTTCTTGGCTAACACAAGGAGAGTACACGGTAGGTATTCAGACGAGTTCTAATTCTCGAATTTTCGGCATCACTCACCCGCGCCCAGATAGCGAGATACGAATGGCTCGGCTTGGCAACGTATCATGGACTCCATCAGGATCCGTATTCATCTTCCTTATCAACGGGCGCCATGACGTACTACCTTAAAGAACCGATGACCTTGTGAAATGGTTCCCTAGAGGTAGCTAAACGTTTAGTTAGTGTACACTATCGATTCCTTACCTCCTCGCAACTCTTGCCCAAATCTCCCCCATGGTTTCACATGCACTCCTATCGCTTTGCCTACGCCTTGCGGAGATTAAAAAAGCCAAAAGATGCTCCTAGCGCTTACGGACCGGGACAAGGCATGGAAGCCCTTGGGGTGAGCGGCGGTTGGGGGGACAGCAAAAGTCGGAAGACTGCCACGACGCCAAGTCCAAACATCCCAAGCAGATCGGATGTTCGGGCGGGTGCAAGGCCGATCGCTACTGCAATTAGTGGCGGTTAGGGGGGCCCGTCGTCGCGAGGCCGTCCAGTGGTTTGTGGCCGTTTAGCGTTATCTGCAGCGTGTCAGCGACTTTAGGTGCAGTGCCACCTCACTCATCACCACCACGACCACCGCGCCGGGCCCGCCGCCGCCAGGGGTCGGGACTTGGTTGACAATCCTTTTTTTCATGTGGGTAGCAACCTTGACGGGAAGGATGGAGTCTCGTGGAATTCGAGATCCGATGATATATGTATCTCGCGCTGGCCGCAGTGCGGTACCGACCTTGGGTACTTGACATAGTTTCATGCTGCTTTGCCTTCCTCCGACAGCCGGTACCAGATAGACATCATCACCACCTATCATCGTCATCGTCAAAGGAGGAAGTCGACGTCAGGTAGCAACACCACCACCCAACATGGCGACGACAATAATGACCATGGCCACCACCATCACCACACCAGGACCCATCCTGCTTCCACCAACACCACCACAGACACCACCCCTCGAGGCCAAAAGGTCGTCGTCATCATTTTCCCCCATCTCCAGCGACGCCTTTTACTCCGACGAAAACCTGCCAACATTACCGCTCCCGGCAGCAAAAACCACCCACCTCCCTCTGTCTTCCGCCCTTGGGCTACCCAGCCCCAAGAACACAACATTCGCATTCGAGAAACCCCCTCCTCCTCCCTCAAAACCAACCCTCTCTCGCCTGGCAGTCTCATCCCGCCTCTCCGAATTAGGATGGAAATCCCGTCCTCGCCAAGGACCCCAAGGCGATTGCCGACAACTCCAAAAGCCAAACCGAAGTCTCCAAGTACCCACGCTGCTTCCTGGAGGCGTCCCGGCGGTGGTTCTGCATGGGCCCAAGTGCGAGTGTCGGGAGCGGGAAGAGACAACAGAGAAGGCGGGCGATGATGAGCTAGTAGCAAGGGTGTTGGCGCTGGCACAACGCACGGCAGTGAGACAACGGCTTGAGCAGCAGAGGAGGGTCAGGGAAGAGCAGCGAAGGGCAGCAGAAAAGAGGGAGAGGAGTTTAGAGAGGAAGGGAAAGAGGGGTGGCATGATTTGTGGGTGGAGGGTTGGAATACCCAAGGAAGTGACGAGGTTTTTCTCGAGCAGGACATCATCTGTCTCGCTGTCCGACTCCAGTTCCGACTCTGACTCTGACCCCGAGTCGATGACGGTCACCGGCAGCACCAGCATGGGACTTGGATTCGACCAAGACAAAATCACCGATCTCTGTCTCGCCTGCTCCAATCTCGACATCGACAAAATCGTCACCCACCTTTTTACCAACAAGGTCCCCATTAACGGGCGATGTACCATTACCACCTCGGCGGAAGTTCC